GGTTACTGGGTTAACATTAAGGGAACCATGCCCTTTCTAATTTCATCACTAAACATTGCTGTTATGATTTTTATACAGTTTGCATGTTTGTGGAGGGGAACCCTTGATTTCAGGTAAAACAGTTGTGTTACATAGAGGTGGCAGCGAGGAAGGAATATGTACTGCCTTATGGCCCATAGCCAGCACCTTCTCCTTGCTCTGTTTTTGAGATATTTCATACTTAAAATTTGCAAGCCTAGTTGTTTACCGCACTTGCGGAAAACAAAATTGATTCTCCACTGTGTGTTAACAACGTTGAAAGTAGTACTATAGTGCAAATATTAGATTAATCGAACTTCCATATCAGACTCACAAAATTTAACAGTCGTACCAATCCTGATAAAAGTACAACAGTTCTAACAATGGGAAGTTGTGAGCTAAAGTTAAATACGAAAGAGAAATTTAATCAAGTCACGAAATAAGTTACTATTGGGTTCAACATGTTTTGTGTTACGAGAATGAAGTAGAATTTCTTGTGGGATGTGGGTCTGGCTACGCCATAAGGAAAATAATATTTCATGGCATATCTCATATCTTATCTTTAATACTTAAGACCGTAAAGGGAAAATCCATATCGTATAATCAACCTTGCTTTCAAATAATGTTTGTTTAGATTAACGATAAACATCCATTTTCTTTAATATTATCATTCGATGTTTGTTCTAATAAAAGTAGGTCCAGGCAAATGCAGATTGTACGTGCTTATCGTAGTTTTCTTAAGCAAAGAGCGATTTAGTATCTTGCCGGTGCCTGCCTCGTCAAAATAGAGCTTTCTAATTTAAAAGCATAGTTGCCTTATACTAAGAAAAAAGATCTTCACGAGTTAGCGAAATTACATAACGCTACGACAATTACGGGAGGCTCGATCAAAACTGTTGGCAGATCGACCAGCCCTTTGACCCACTTCCGCAGGTCGTCGACCGTGTGACGTCACGGCGGGCGCACCACCCCACGCCTCCCGTCGACACGTCACCCACCGGGGGTGTGTTCTCTTCCTGCCTGTTCGAGGTCACATGCCGTTCGCGTCTCGTACCGTTCGGACGTCCGTGTTCAATTAACTCTCGATCCCAGTGTGTGTTTTCTGTGATTATATTTCAGTGACAACTGTGATGACTATTATAGGTGAGAATAAAATATATTATAAAAGCTTTAGAAGCGCTATTTAATTAGTTAATGGTTTGACAATAGGAGTGTATATCGTTTTAAACATAATTTGCACAATAATGATTTCGTATATGCTAATATAAAAACACAATGTTACGTGATTGCGTCTACTTTTTCTTGCACGTTATGTAACACAACTTCCATAAATATGACCTTGAAACTGAACGAATTACGTGAACGTACGCGAGCTACATAAACCTGAGTTTAATATTTTCGCATGCCAACCATGACAGGCTTTTTACAAGCTTTTTTTTCCAACAAAATCGTACTGTATCGTGACAACATTATTAATTGACTATATTTTGCATACACTTGTATAAGGTTTGTTTTTGTCTGATTACGTTTGTGTGGATAATGACTGAGATCACGATAGCTTTGTTTTACTGAACCAATAAAATACTTCAACAGTGTATATATTAGGCACGGAGATCGTAAAGTTATTGTATGAAATATTACTGTTACTTTTGTATTTCATTTATAATTCTAGGCTAAACGTGTGTTGTTTAAAGAGTTATTTAGACTCTTTCAGGATAAGAGTTAGTTAATGTATCAAAGTAAGTCAAACTGTTATGATGACAGTACTTTAAGCACTTTCAATTCCCACAAGACAGATATACCTACACTTTTGACCTTCTGTTATTAACAACTAATCCATAATTTTCCCAGTCGTGACATTTGATTATAGTTCTGTCAATGATGGTTATAGTGATGTGAACCTTCTTAGATTTCCGAACGCCAGACCTCAGACCATCTTTATGTCTCTCGATTCTCGATTGTTATCATATCTGGTATTATGTCGAAGATAGCATATTATACTACTCAATGTTACGAAACTACCAACTAAGACCGGTACTACACAACGCAAGGATACCATTTAAATAAATTATGAATGATTCAATATTTATCCTTGAGTATCAAGTACAGTGCGTACGCAAATATATAGAGAATAGTTTTCCTTTTATTTATTTAAGTGGAGTGATTGCGGTACCGTCTGCTATTAAACTATTTAACTGACCAAAATATTTATCGGTTGCCATGTCTTGAGCATCAAGAGCCGAACTTGGGTGAGAATGATAGTGCTTTTTTTTACAAAAAGACAACCCCCGCATTTCCTAATATTTGTAAAGTTACCCGCAACACAGAATATATAGGAATATATCCTGTGTCGCGGGGAACTTTACAGTCACTTCATAGAACACCGGTGTGGTGACGGATTAAGAATACGTATTGTCACCATCCCTATTTATCCCGTGGGTGTCGTAAGAGCCGACTAAGGGAGCAAGACAATACCACTGGAAAGAGAAGGATATTTCGACACAGGCCTTATACCTACCCGTCTGGCCAGATTGGCATAGTAGGCCAAAACCTCGTCTCTCAGGAGAGGCCTATGTACAGCAGTGAACTGTTATAGGCTGTTGATGATAATGATGAAACGAATTCTCATTATCCATCTTATGAAGTTGAAAAGTTTGTTAGGTTGGGAAAACGCGCTTATCTTAGGAACAACTACTGGTTCGAATTGTTTTTTTTTAGCGTTGGATACCCTATTTATCGAGAAAGGCTATATATAAAATCACACTACTACGGAGCCAACCATCAATGAATTTTTTTACAAAATATATTCCTTTTCAAATACGCAGATGAAGTTAAAAGCATAATTTATCTCTAACGAAATATTTACACAATAAAAGACAATAATTCACTAAAGGGGTACAAGGTCGGTGTACTCCTTCACTGACACCACAGCAAGCACAATAAAAAAAAATCAACTAAGCAAGCAAAGTTACTAGTAATAAAGAAAATTTAAAGATTTAAAAAGAAACAAAAAGTAAAATTTAAAAGATTAAATAAGATTGGTAAAATTTACATCATCATCATCATCATCATCATCAGCCTATCGCAGTCCACTGTTGGACAAAGGCCTCTCTCATTGCACACCACGATTTTGGGCTTCTCGCATCTGGCTCCTGCCAGCCATCTTGAGTAACGATTACGCTCTCCAAATTTACATAATTCAAAATAAATTACGTTGAGACTTACATTACAGCTTTTAAGCATTTCTTTTTTTTAGACAAACGTAGTCTTTATACATATATAAAAAAAAAAATTTTTCATAATTATTACATTTCTTTATGTAATGTCGCATCTGTATCGAAAGCTTTAAATGTAACATACATCACATCACATCAACAGCCTTTAACAGTCCACTGCAGGACATAGGCCTCTCCTTAGAAAGTAGGTTTTGGCCCACTATACCGCGCTGACCAGACGGGTTGGTATAGGGTTTGTGTCAAGTTTTCCTTCTCTCTGCAGTGCTGTTGTCCTGCGTATTTCGCTCCCTTAGTCGCCTCTTACGACACCCACGGGATGAATATCGGTGGTGACACTCTGTATTCTTAATTCGTCACCACACGGACAGAAATGACACAGACACAAATGTAACATACATAACATTAAAAGGAACGAGTCGTTTGATGAATTATTTAAGAGCCCTCGAATGCTATATGGTTTCTAGATAGGTGATTTAATCCATGACCTGTCGAAGGTTTTCGATAGTTCTAATTGTTATAATACACATATTTCCTGTCTGGTTATTATCACACATCCATGCCTATCCTTGATATATCGTTTTAAATGTAAAATCAAGTCATCATCATCATCATCATCAACAGCCTTTAATAGTCCACTGCTGGACATAAGCCTCTCCTTAGAAAGGAGGTTTTGGCCTACTATACTACGCTGGCCAGACGGGTTGATATAGTAAAATCAAGTCAAGCACTGAATAATGATTGATTTGATTTATGGTGGGATAGCCACATATAATCAAAACGGCTGCAACTTATGCTCTACTTTACCCTTGAGTCATCAAAACAATAGAAATACTTAGGGAGTTAGGTATATTGATATGTTAACTCAAAGGTCGAAACCGCTTATTGAGCGGAAAAAAATGTATTTTGGTTATCGTGCTAAAGACCACAACACATAGATGCAATTAACAATCCTAATACGACCAAATAAAGTCCCATATAATTAACCCACAAATCTCACAATACAACTAATATTATAAGACTATGCCTCCCCTACTGCTAAATAATAGACCTTGCACCTACCGACTTTTATTTTTTCCAAAATTTAGACAACTTTTTAGTGGGTAAAAAATTCAATACCCGAGAGGCAGTACAAAATGCCTTTGAAGAGTTTGTTGCCTCCCGTCCAGCTGATTTTTACAAGAAGGGCATCAATAAACTGCCTATGCGTTGGCAAAGATGCGTCGATTGCGTGGGTGATGATTACTTCGAATAACAGAAATAAAAAAGTTGAAAAAAAATAAGTACTTTCACTTATTGCATCCAAAACGGCAATTTCATAGGTAAAGACCTAATATATAAAAGGAATCAATTATGTGTACCATTACAATTTAAATTAATATCTGAAAGAGATTTTAAGGTAGTGTCAATTCAATGAAAAGTTTAAAGTAGTAATTAATAAAGTAGTAAGGTATTTTGAAAGTCTGTCCCATTTTATTATGCCGGGTAAACTTAATCATCACCATCATCAGCCTATCGCAGTCCACTGCTGGACATAGGCCTCTCCCATTGCACGCCACTTAGATCGATTTTCGTGTAAACTTAACTTTCAATATTTTTTTCTATATTCCCCTAAAATTCATCACACATTTCACAATTGCAAAAACAATTGTACTAGTTATTGCCATTGAATGGAATCTAGAAGTGCATGAACTATGACGTCAAAGTCAAAATACACTTCACTGCATTCAAGCAATTGTGCCAACATCAATGAATTCGCCATCTTCTTCTTCGAAGCAGTGCGAGGGAGATGGTGCGTTTTATGACGTCACGGGACATTGCGTGGCCTACTTACCGACCGAACAGAGTTATATTGTAATTTCATTGTGCTGAAAGTGTAGTTCTATATACCTATCTTATGTATGTCTATACCTTAAGAGTAATTGGACACAAGCTTACTCCGTTTTAATCTTCTCGGACTTTCTAAAATTTCAAAATCCCTTAACGTTTGATATATATTATTACTGGTTAATTATTGTATCGTACATTATTTCGATATTGTACAATACAATAATTAACGAGTTTTGAAAAGGAAGAGACTCTGAATTCGATTTTTTTTGTGTTTGTTCCCTCAGAACTTCGTCATTCATGAATCGATTTGGAAAATACTTTTTATTTGAAAGGGTATACTTCCCGAATTTGAACAAATAATACCTGACAGTGAAAACAGAACACAGTTTAATACAATTAATCATGTTCAGAGCGCATTGTGTACGCTAGCAATTTGTAGTTACCAGTTTGTTTTTACAAACACTGGAATTGTTTTGCCAATTAAGTACGTATTTATATAAAATCTAGCAAATATATTATTCTTGCATATACTGTCATGGGTTCCCTTGGTAGAAATTTATGCTTCGTTTGAATCTACGGTTCTAGTACTTGACGCCGGAATATAGGTCGATATCTCCATGAATGGGCTGTTGAACTGTAAAATAGAGTTTAATGGAGGGTATAAATGAGCCTTATAGCTTGTGAATAATGTTATAAGGAATTTGTATTCTTTCAAGCTTTACAAACCAATATGTTTGTATAAATAATTTATTTTAAAAAGTCGCTGCAGGAACATAATTGCTTTACACAACTTTGCTGTTTTTTAAATTTTGTTGCTTCCTAAAACTAGTCACACGCGATACCTTATTTAGTATTAAATGAAATAGTTTTGCAAATCAATTTATCATATTTCTGATCAGATGGCATGCATACAAATCTTTGCAATAAACGAGAATAGATTTCTTGGACCCCTGGTTTTAAGTGTATTACCACCAATCCGGAGGGTATTCACACCGTTCCAACAATGCAATCAAAATTTACTTAAAAAAATATTCAATCATTAGTGGCATGAAAATGCAGACACGTCATGTCACGCATAAACGTCATGGTGTCTTGCGTTATGGCAGAACAGATAAATAGAAATACTTTGAAATTAATAATATTTAATACTTATAACCATTTATTAATTACATCTTGCTGAACTATCTTTATTGTGTTTTCTCACTCACTCGGTGCAAGGCACCCAAAGATTTGCTTAAGTTTTTGGTGAGTCTGTGGTATGACTCTAGTCGAGCTTGCCCGTATGTAGCGTATCATGACTCTCCCACGGTTCATTTCTACTAATACCTCGGTGGTGCAGTGGAAGGGTATGCGACTGCTTTGCGAAGGTCTCGGGTTCGATTCCCGGGTCGGACCAAATGTTTGTATGATCTGTAGATATTTGTTTTGGGTGCTTTCTATCTATGATATGTACGTATTTACAAAAAAAAAAGTATTTAAGTATCCTATCAGTCAATCTAAGATTTCATAGTTCAAGCTCTGCTTAGTTTGAAACTAGATGGTGTTGTGTGTCAGATGTCTAAAATTTGTATTATTATTAATACATTTGGATATATAACAGGTACAATGAAGATGCATTTATCTAATTGCCAAAAGTATGTTGACGTATTGCCACTTGGCTTAAATAAAAAAGCTGCTTTTTTGCGATTTTTGATGACTGTATGACTCTTTAATGTTTTCAGAGCCCGGTGTGTGCGTGATGCGCGCGCCAGGGTCGGTGGGCGTGGGCGCCGCTGGCGTGCCGCGCTGGGCGCACTCCGCGCCCGCGCCGCACACCGACTACGCGCGCCACATCGCGCCGCTGCACCCTCACCCTGTGTTCCTACACGATGACCAGATCAACAACCGCATCGCGATATGGTAGGTATACAACATTGGCATCATCATCGTCAATAGCCTTTAATAGTCTAATGCTGGACATAGGCCTCTCCTTAGAAAGGAGGTTTGGGCCTACTACACCATGCCAAGCCAAGTCTCAAGTTTTCCTTCTCAGTTCAGCAGTGCTGTAATCCTGGATAGTTTGTTCCCTTAGTCGGCTCTGTGAATTGTGGTCAAATTACTGTACTTCAAGGCGTCATTATAATGTTATACTTAGGACTCATAGTTATTAATTTCTATGACATTTTTCCTCCCCGAAGAAAGGCGGGACTGAAACCATCATTTCCATAGAATAAGAAAGAAACTTACTTGCACAGAACACAGGTGGTACCAGATTTAACAGTGGTGTATTGTTCGAACTAAATTCTGACTTTATTAGTAATTATAATAATTAATAATAAAATGTTAACATATTTCGTAATTATTTTAACTAATTATCATTAACAAACTGTCAAGAATTATTATTATTTAGCATATACATTATTATATAACATTAAATTAAATTTTACATATAATCAGATACATTCGCTTTATATTGCATGAACTCTTTGATCATATAAAAACAAGCTTCATTTTAAAATATTTAAATGGCAGTTCCCTTAGACTCTTAAAAGTTTATTAAATATTAATATGAAAATGTGTGTGTATGATTAAAAAAAAAGTATATGTGCATACTAGATAAACATTCACCTACAAGAGTTAAATGAATTATGATTTTCACTATCAAGAATTAGGCGTACTAAATTTTACTATCAAATCGTACATGTGATCGTTGATTTTGTGGCACCTCGCCAACTGTCATACGTCGACTGTGCTCACAATTCATCATTAAATTGTGTCATTTACATATAAATTACCTACTATTTAACCAAGGCTGTACTTCTGTTTATTTGATATTCCAGACAATCTATTTAGTAACAAAATTTATCCAATTCCGTTCAGCTATTGTAGCGTAATAATTTTGGCAGTATATGTTTGTAAAATTTATGATACCAAGGCATATCAATTATTAGATGATCCGCCCAAGTTTGTCTCCGTCCTCTCAAAAGGAAAAAAATCCGATTTTTCATTAATGCTACGCTCTTCCTAGATAAATGGGCTATCCGACACTTAAAGAATTTTAAAAAAGCAAAACTCCCGAGAAAAGCACGTTGAACCAAATAAACTCTTCGGATTTATAATATTAGTATACGTTGCAGCTGTTGCAGCAAACAAGTGCCATAATTGTCCATAATTGCCATTAACCTACCTGGTTGTCACATTATAGGCAAGGCGACATCTCAACATTAGAAGTGGACGCCATCGCGAACACAACGGACGAGACCCTCACAGAGTGCAACTCTGTCAATGAACGTATACTGCAAGTGGCCGGACCGGAGCTCAAAGAGGAAATCATCACAAGGGGTTACGGTAATAAACACTTTTATATTTATTAATTGATTTAATAAGAAAACGACTGTACAGATGGCGTAGTGGTTTAAGCTGTCACCTCACCGCTGACTTCTGTGTTGTGTTATTTTTTTATGGTATAAGAGGGCAAACGAGCAGACGGGTCACATACTGCCGCCCATGGACACCTGCAACTCAAAAGTCGCAAGTGCGTTGCTGCCCTCGGAGTCCCTCCCTCGAGTCAGCGGGAGGGGGGATTTGGGCTCCGGTAACCTCACTCACTCGGTGAAAGGCAACAAAAGAATTGCTTAACACCGGTTTCCTATGAGGCCGTGGTATAGAGCCGGCCCATTCGTGCCGAAGCATGGCTCTCCCACGGTAAAGCATGGCTTTCCCACGGTGTTGTGGGTTCGATCCCCACATGGGGCATAATTTTGTGTGATCCACAAACTGTTCTGAGTGTGGATGTTCTTTGTGTGTGTTGTATGTATTTGTATAGTCCCCCGTGACACAGAATATATTCCTAGTGCGAGAGGTCTTTAATACTTGAACTAATACTGCTTAAACTGCTTTGAACTAATATCAAGCACAAATTTGGAATACCTATTGGTTAACTAAAATAATAATAATAACCCATCCCAAACTAAGCCGAGTCTGTCCTGTGGTAACCAGACTGCTGATAAACATACTTAAATGTTTCTAAACACATAACATTATTATAGATATACACCCAGATACAGAAATAAAGTAAGATATTCAAAACGGTCGAAATGCTACCAACAGGTGATCCCAGCTGACAAACCATATTTATATATTACTAAACACGTACATTTTATTGAAAAAATAAATCCATACTCGAATGAACGATCGTGCTCATAATCCTGAGTAATTATTAGCAATTTGTTTTGAATATTACTAACACGATTCTTAAGATAAACTGTTACTAACACATGATTGTATGGAAGAAACTCTGAAAGTAAACATCTATTATCATTGTCATAATTTATACAAAAGATGCGCTTTACTTTGCAGACCATGGGGGCTAATGCCGGAATCGAACCGACTAATGAGTCGGTTCGATTCCGGCATACTACTTCAAGTGTCTACACAGATAGAAAAGAAACCCTACTTTTTATGCAAGCAAACATGCAATCGTTGTACAAGTTGTTATGACGTTATAACGTTGAGTTTTTTTAAGTAATATAACTGTAACTAAAGTAAATACCCGGCTTTATTTATATTTATAAATAATTAACGAGTATTTTTATAAATGTGTTAGCTTCACTCATTACTTTTCAGAATGTCGTACGGGTGACGTGGTAGTGACGCCGGGTTTCGGACTGCGGTGTCGTCACATCATACACACTGTGAGCCCCAAATACGTTGCCAAGTACCACACCGCCGCAGAAACTTCACTCCATAACTGCTACAGGTAAAGGACATCATCATCACCGGTTAAGACGTTCACTGCTGAATATAGGCCTCCCTCCATGACATTCAATAAGACCAACTTTTAAAAGTACGTCTGCCGACGTTGTTGCTAGACGTCCGACGCGGTTTCAAATTTGTGATCAAAATATCGAAAGCCGAATACCAGATCGGGTGCACGTTGTTTATTATTGTAAACTAGCTGAGGCCCGCAGTGTTACCCGCGTTTGTTGTTATAACCGCGGGCAAAGCCGCGGGGCGAAGCTAGTCTAAAAAAAGTAGCCTAAGTTACTCCTTATGTCATCAGCTATCTGCCAGTGAAAGTCCCGTCGAAATCGGTCCAGCCGTTTCAGAGATTACCCGGAACATACAGACAAAAATTGTAAAAAATGTTATTTTGCCATATGTACCGTGTAAACATACAAATGCATTTAGTAAAAAGCTGTTATTTTAATATTACAAACAGACACTCCAATTTTAATTATTTGTATAGATATATTAATTAATACTTTGTAAGTCAGTACACATCCGGATGAAGAATACCACCCCTATTCATCCCGTGGGTGTCGGAAGAGCCGACTAAGGAGACAAACTACGCAGGACAACTGAACAGCAGTGCAAAGAGAAGGAAAACTTGACACAATCTCTATGACAAGTCGTCTGGCCAGTGTGGTATAGTATGCCAAAATCTCATTTCTAAGTAGATACCTATGTTCAGCAATGGACTTTGGTACTCTGTACAATAATTTAGTCTATTTATATCTCAGCATTTTTCGTCAATCTTTGGTTAGAATAATTTCTTGCCTCGTCGTAGGGGGGACTCGTACTTCTGGAACAAGAGCTGAGCCCTGTAGTGGGGGATGTGCCGATTAGTCGTATATAGGCTTAGTGTTGTCGGTCGCAGGAACGTGGTGTGCAAGGCGCAGGAGCTGGGCGCGCGGTCGCTGGCGCTGTGTGCGCTGAGCGCGCCGCACCGCAACTTCCCGCCCGACCTCGCCGCGCACGTCGCCTTACGTGAGACTCTTTATCATCTTCCACCTAGTCCATACTACTTTTCCTTAGAATTACATATATTAGTTCAAATTGTTCCAGGCTAATATTTTCAGAGTGAACTGAATAAGATTGTGGGTGCAATTTTTCAAAACACATAATTCGTGTCGATAAGGCGTTTATGTTGTTAATATATGTAGGTTTCCATTTCATTATATATTACATAATAATCTTATTTCAATAGTTACCGGTAACATACGTCCCACATGGGACGACACTTTGTGTGATCCACAAATTGTTGTTCTGAGTCTGGGTGTTCTTTGTGTCCTTGTATGTTTATAAAGTGTTTTTTTAAGATCAATGATTTCTTTATCGATATTTAAATTAAAAAATAATAAAACAAAGTAAACAAAAGCAACGGTTAAACTTATTTTCTATGTAATAATTTCATTTCAATGATTAACAGTAGCGTTAACGAAATTGTAAGCCAAAGATTATTGAATATTTAAAAAAACTTCACTAATTATTAAATAAGAAACAGTAACCAAAGCCTTAATTACATCTCTTAATAGTCTTTATCTCATTATTACTCCAAAAACTTTCCCATATTTCAAAACCGCGATGATCCTTGCTCTTGTATCATTAAACCCCATAGATTCTTTATGGTCTTTAAATCTTGGATTTTTGGTAGCAAATTTTTAACACGGGTTGTGTTCTCACTTTCATAAAACCAATCTCTACATACGTACACGAGTATTATAACTAATTATTAAATTTAAACGATTTCACAAAATAAATCTGACAAAAAATATAGAGGGCAACTGTCCGGTTTAGTGTCGAGAAAAATTCCTGATGAGCAATACACTCGCTCTTATTATGTGAAATTAAAAATTAAATGAAATTAAAGATTAGCCTTTCCCCCCCCCCCCCCCCCCCGCCAATAGATTCCGCATTATGGAATATTTGTTCTGATTCGAGTTCACCTAATTTGGCGGTAGGCAAGGGTTGCGGGGGACATATCAAATGCTACGATTGGATATTTCAAGGTCAAACTTAGAATGGACTGAACCATAGTGATGGGACAGTGTTGGGACGTTGACCGATAAAATGGTTTGATGATCTGAATTATTGATATTTATTTTATTTTTGATTTATTGATTATTGATGAATAATTATATTGATCAATGTTTATTTGATATTTATTAAAAAAATAAAATATATATATACATATTTCTGTGCCTCCAGTGAAAAGCGATACAAGTAAAAAATCAACACGTTACAGGAGAACAAAAGCAAGATTTAAAAAATTCTAGTTCACTATCTAAGTAGGCTAGGTTAAATATGAATACCTCATTTTGTAAACGAAATCATTCACTTACTGTACCTTTTAATTTTTGTCATAAATAGTATATTTTAATGTTTTAAAGTAATTCTTGAAAAACCTGTGTGTTGTGCCTTTTCATTTTTGATACATGCTAAAGTTAAGTGATAAATCATACAAGTCCAGTTAAATTATGTAGCACCTACTTGTTTTCGTGTAAATCGATATACATTAAGTGCAAATATCTAATAATTAATTAGAATTTGTCTCTAGCGCAAAGTTACTCAGAGAAATGATAAAAATACTACCCTAACGATGAGATTGTTTTTGCTTATCAATCCCCTGTTTTCATAATTTGGCTAAATATTATCAGGTTGCTAAAATTTTGGATCTGTTCAAAATGCCATAATTCTAATTATATCAATTATTAATAAAGGTTTGAACTTAAAATACATCTATATTCACGCCATTTTTGCAAAAATCTTGACAGTTAAATCACTCTGCACAAAATTATCTTCGAAACTATAGTAGATAAAAGAATGTGAGTCAGACAGAAAAAAAAACAAATATTTTTTCTGAATATTTCTATGTAAAAATCAAAAAGGGATAATTCGACTTAAGCCACTCATCACAGGAGGCACAGCTTTGTACATTTAATTTTTAAATACATATTCCACTGATTTTTAAAATAGACGTGCTTAGTATAAATACGTCTCTCAGAATCCTTAGGATTTATCTTAATTGTCTTCCAACAGCTCTCTACGGTTTTTCATAATGTGAAGGTCTTCTGTGAAGTATCTTGAGCATATCATCGTCCTCTCGACAAGTTGCGTCGATCCACATCTTTTCTTTTAGGGCATTTAGGAAATAACATATTCCACAATGATACGCCATTATTTTTTACAAAATAATGACTTAAAAAAAGGATGACCAAACAAATATCGACCTATAAATCACAACACTATTGATACACGTGCTGTTATTAGACAAAGATAACTATTGTAATTTACGTAATGAGTGAAAGGGACTTTTAAAAAAGTCATCAACGGGTGCTTAATTTGGTTTTTGTACCACTTCGTACTGTTATGCCATCAGTATAAGTTGAATTCCGGTGCTTTTGAAATAGTTTAACGTAATAAAAATAAAAGTTCGAGTGGTGATGGATAAAGAATACGGAGTGTCATCACTCGTAAGAGCCGACTAAGGGAGCGAACTGTGCAAGGCAATAGCACAGCAAAGAGAAGGAAAACTCGAAACGAACCCTATACCGACCCGACGGTCGAACCTCGGTGTCGTGACTCTTAGCGTCACGTCGTACGCTAGCTACGGCGAGCGTGCGTCGAGCGCCTTCGCGGCTACGTATGGGGAATCTATGGGGGGGGGGGGGGGGTAATCCGTGTAGTATGTAAATATTTTCTTAAATCGAAAGTGAGTTTCGGTTCGGTTCGGCTGAGAGGTCGGTGGCGCCGCAGGTACGGTCCGGCGGCACTTGGAGCAGCAGCGACTGCCGGCGCTGGTGGTGGTGGCGGCGGCGCGCGGCGCGGAGGCGGCGCTGCTGGTGGCGCTGGCGCCGCTCTACTTCCCGCGCGACGCGCACGAGGCCGACGCGCAGCGCTGGCGCCTGCCGCTCGAGCCCGCCTACCACGACCGCCGGATACGCATCATACACAACCCGCACGAGCACAGCTCCGACACCGGTACGCAAACGTTTCTTGTATTCCATTAGTCAATCTAGCTTTCATACTACAAACTCTGCCTAGTTTGAAACTAGATGGCGTTGTGTGTTAAATGTCTGAAAACATTATTATTCCGTCACCGTTCGACTAGCCTGTAAATCTAATAGTTAGTGAGCCTGACTGCTAAACCAAAAATCGTGGGTTCGATACCACCAAAAAAATATATTAAACGACAACCACATCATTTGTTCTATGTCTAGCTGTAATGTATCCAAAACGTATACATATTTAAACATATATCATAAGTATTTTCTCAACAGTCTGTTTAACTAGTTTAAAAATTAACGAAATGTGTAAAATTACTGTTATCATGAATTTTGCATACACGTTGTCTTTAAAACAAAACATAAAATACCTACATCACAAGAAAAACACTTTTTCTAAGACATGAAAAAAACCTCAACAATGAGAATACAAAAATTAAAGTTTGTTATTGTACACACTGAACACATACATATATATACAAGTAACAAGGAAATGTCATGTACCTACAAAGGCAAGCTTAAGCCAAAACTGATATGAAAAGTTTTCTTATCTATGTTATTTTATTCCATAGACAAGTTTCTTTGTAGCACCCACAAATCAGGCATTGCACTCCTTGATATTAAAATTGTTTTCCAATACTTGTACACTTACAATGTGATATTTCATATCATCGGTAGCACTGATTCAAACGTAGATAACGGTCGATAATTTAGAATTACAAATCACGAAAACACTAAATTGATAATAAAATAACAAGTAGGGATAGATATCTTTTCCCACTCAGAACAAATAATTGTGTGATGAGCACGATGATTAGTTCTGTATCTATGATATGTATGTATTTAGAAATATATAAGTATGTTTTATATGTTTCTAAATACTTAATAATTGTATGTTACCATAGTACAGGCTCTGCCTAGTTTGGGATCAGACAGCCGTGTGTGAGATGTGTTAGGGAGTTATAATACATACAAAAATTTTGATGAAAAATTAGGTATAGGTATATTAAACGGCTAGAAGGCAAAATGTAAAACACATCTGCGTGTCGAGCTAAGCCTAATATAGGGTTCCGTACTTATTTCATATTATAAACGTTTTAAATGGACTGTTTCAGTAGCCTATGAATTAGTTTATCGACTATTACTCGTGAACTAACAAACCCAACTTATCTCTGATAGTTTTCCTTTTAAATTCGTTATTGTCCTCATGGGATGGATGAATATAAAAACTAACATCCTTACTTTCAAGGCAATCCCCTCGGATACCACCCACCGGTGGTGATGTCGGACACGAACCAACTAACCGCACGCCGTCTCGGGTACCAGTAGCCGGGGAACCAGGTGATGTCTAGGAAGGAAATCCCTGGTACCCCGACCTACCTCGGGCCATCTACGTAAACCACGGTATTCCCATTCCACAAGCTAACGTATAGTCCACAACTTTTTATACAGATTAGTGGAGGAATGTAAGCAATAGCTAGTGTACCTGTAACACGGTCCAGAGGGAAAAGCTGGTACTGAGGTGCCCCGGCATAGACATGAGGACAGTATTCCATATGCGTCCGCACTTGCGCCTTACTACATTTTCGCAAATTGATAAACTTACCGAACTCTAGTCCGGTGCTTTCTTCAGCCGCCTCCTTGGCGAGTTGGTGGGCTCGCTCGTAAATTTCCTAGGAAATTTATACATTTGCGGTTCTTGTTATTTTCCGGTGACATATAGAAGTCTACTAATCACTATGCACTAATACTTAAAGGATTTGTATTGTTTTATGGGGCAAACAAGTACACAGGTCACCAGTGACCAACGTACAAGCCCTACAACCGACTCCAAGACCCCCCCCCCCCCTTTCCTCGTTTTATCCTCCGGTAACTTCACTCATTCTCAAACACCGGCTGTGAACACGTCGCATCATTCTATTCGAGCCGGCCCATATGTGGCAAAGCATCGTTCTCCCACGGACCTAGTCTCCCCTATCTCATTTCCGCATAATGCGCCACTCATGCGATTATTCTAAAGTATATAGCAGCAGGCGATCCTACAACAAGCTTATCGCAGATAAAGCCAGCCATATAAATAGGTTATCAGAATATTGACGCATTTAGTATATCGATTATCATTGGCCAGTGATTGCGTTTCGACAGTTATTGTGACTGGTTTTATTGTGAACACCACACACCATGGAAGTGGAAACTAAATTGAGCGTTATCGAGTTGAAGGCGAGACCTCATGGTGAGAATAAACTATAAATAAATAAACTCTATCGCTTTTTAGATCAGTGAACTAAAATTCTGGTGATTTTTCTTATGATTCAGGTGTTTTTGTTGCGTCACATTTTATTCATAAATTCTGATTTAAATTGCACTCTTTCTAAGTTAAATATTTTTGTTTGATCGGGATAAAGTTTGATTAGGTTAAATACCCAAAACTTATGTCCAGCAGTTGACTATTAAAGGTTGTTGATGTGGTGTGATGTTAGGTTAATTACCCTAAATTAGAATTCCTCATACATACAGAATATTTCTTTGTAGAAACGAAGCCAGGGAATAATTGTTTTTTAAGCCTTATAGTAATTAAATAGTGATTGTCAATGCTCTAACTATTATTTACCTTGGGGTTTACTGCACAGAGTACAGTAATATTATTAGAAAGTTTACTGATTCAACTGAGTTCACCAAAACAGAAGATTGATATGTCAACAAGAAATATTTGACATTTGTCAAAACCTACCGACTATTACTTTTTCCAAAATTTAGACAACTTTTTAGTGGGTAAAAAATTCAATTCCCGAGAGGCAGTACAAAATGCCTTTGAAGAGTTTGTTGCCTCCCGTCCAGCTGATTTTTACAAGAAGGGCATCAATAAACTGCCAATGCGTTGGCAAAGATGCGTCGATTGCATGGGTGATTACTTCGAATAACAGAAATAAAAAAGTTTGAAAAAATAAGTACTTTCACTTATTGCATACAAAACGGCAATTTCATAGGTAAATACCTAATATTTGATTTGACAACCTTCCAATATTTTTATATTTTGTGGTTTGTTTCTCAGATTTAGTCATAGTCATTTATTCATCAACAAATTACATTGTATTTGAAATTAAAATAATTAATAAAATAATAGTAATAATATTTAAACAAAAAATATATATATAATTGTGTCATCATTAGTTTTCATTCATATTCATCATTAGTATTTTAAAACAGTCATTTTAATATAATAATAATAATAAAATTTAAAGATATTATTGGAAATGAGAATTTGTTTTTTGTTTTGTTGCTTAAATATCGACATATTATTTATGAAAACTGCTGATATTAAATAGGGCATTACAAATAGACACTTCAATTTCATTAATTTGTATATATTTTAGTTGTAATATATACTTAAGTATATTATATTCTTCGATAAAAAGGCTTAGAATATTCTCCTAACCTCACACATCTCACAAACGGCCGTCTGATTCCAAACTAGCAGAGCCTGTGCTATGGTAACCAGATTGCTGATAAACGAACATACTTAGATAATTTACACCCAGACACAGAACAAATGAGTATATAAGTATGTACATATATTGGCCCCGTTTACACAAGAGTTGATTTTGAGTTCAACCCAATACATTGATAATATAACTACATATTATATGAACATATATTGTGTATAACCGTAACAACAACATAGATCGTTCAAACGTGTCGTGTCGACACTTTTCGAATCAAACAAACCAAAAATGTATCCTGTTATAATCAAAAAAAAATTTCAACTTTTCACTTTTGTTGTCATTCAAGGAGTGACACTTTTTTTTTTAAAGTCACGTCATCATCTTACTGGGTATTTGGATGTTAAACACGAGTCCAAGATCTGTCCTATGCCTGTACTTTCATACTTACAGGAACGCATAAAGCATGAACAATATATTTATACCATTTTCATGGCACATGGGAGCTGCTTTAAACCTACATGTAGGAACTAAGTCTGTAACGAATCTAACATGTGATGTTGCTTTTCGACACTAGATGGAGCTCTTTTACTTCACCACAAAATAATAGTGTTCATTATAATTCGATTCTATTCCCCGATCGGATTTTTTTTGTATAATCTGCAAATATTTGTTTCGGAGATTAGGTGTTTTCTGTGTATTATAAGTATGTATTAACAAAAAAAAGTATACAAGTATTTTATAGATCAGTAAATCTAACTTCATAGTACAAGCTCTGCTTAGTTTGAAAGTAGATGGCGTTGTGTGTCTGATGTCCGAAAATAATAGACGTAGTAAACTAGATGTAGTTTCCAGGGGAGGTTGCCGTCCCATTTTAAGCACTAAATAATACACCTTATTACAATTTATGATGATTTAGGCGCTTTGGGGACGGTGATGTCTTTAAACAAACTAAAATATATCATTATAGGTTCGATGTATTACATTTATCTTGAAATATTTGAATATATGTAAACGTTGTATCCTTCTCACGTTGTAATGTAATATTGTAATACACAATAAACGCGAACTTTATTTTAATGTTACGTTGGTAAAACAAAATTAATTTTATTGTTCTACTTAATAGCGCATCTGTGATAACATTATCTTTAGATAAAAATAAATCTCTGTGCTTTGTTAATCAACCTACATATATTTTAATTGACAAAGAAAAACAAGGCTTATATGTAGATCATAGCAGCCATATTGGACTGATAAAATCAAAGAAATGAGAATAAGATTGATTATTACTTAACACAGAAAAATATAATTTATCTGTAAGGTCTCGTGTAAGTGGATTGCACATCATATGTTCGCAGGGAATACGACCAATCCAGCTAGAATACAAACATGTTCTGGACCCCATAAGACAGGGCAGTGAACTCTTTGGTAGTACGCTAGATAGTCAACCTAAAAATAGTGTCAACAACTTTAATGTGCCTTCATCATGATGAATTATAATTATAACTGTAGTCTTCATTATTCAATTTTCAACTCTATTACAACCCTTTATTTGTTAAAAATTCTGAGGACGAGGGAAGTCAAAATGAATATTTCAAACCCGTTAAATAATTTCTGAGTTCTGTGGTAACAAACACAAAAAAAAACCAAAAGAATTGGGAACTTTCTCCTTTCTTGAAGTCGGTTAAAAAGATCATATATTCTTAAAGTACCACTTGGCAACTTAAATTAAGAATAATCAGGCTCTTAAGTCAAATATTATTATCTAAATAGGAAACACGTATTTGCCAAAAAAATTCAAGCTTCAGAAACTGACAATTAGAACATAAGTATGTGAGTAACTATAAACCCTATTTTGAGAGTAAATACTTGAGACATACATAGATGTACCTACACATGTACATGACGTGTTTGTCGCATTCGAAACCAAGTTACGAAACAGTTGACGTAACTTTTAATAAAAATGAAATCGTTGTTAGTTGGCAAGCGCATCGCTTAAGAAATGCGATGGACCGATTTGGTTATTAGGGTTCGTTTTTTACCTTTTGAGGTACGGACCTCAAAAGGCGAAAAACGAACCCTTATAAGATCACTTTCTTGTCCGTCTGTCCGTCAGTCCGTCTGTCCGTCAGTCCGTCTGTCCGTCAGTCCGTCTGTCCGTCTGTCCGTCAGTCCGTCTGTCCGTGTGTCACCACCGATTTTCTCTGGAACGGGTAGACCTAGCAAGTTGAAATTTATACCAGATACTATGGTCCTTATTAGGTGTATAAAAATAAAGGTCTTGAGTTAACACGATAAAAAGATATGGGCGAATTTCGATTTTCGCGAAAACTTGTAAGTACCTAAATTTTCTTAATTTTCAACTTATTTTATTTTTCAAAATTTTCTCTTTACTTGTGTTTTTTATATGTCAATAATTACGAAATTAATTGTTCGTTACAGCACAAAATTGAATAAAGCTTTTGACTTATGATAATATACGTATATAAAATTTAATTTTAACAAAACGTATAAAAAGCGGAGCATTTCAACATTTAAAAAACTAAACTTGTACAAAAAATTTCAGCTCAATCAATTCAAGATATCTGCTTCAAAATGACACCCGCACAAACATAGTTACATACATACAGATATTGCAAGTTTAAAAAAGCTTGTTAAAAGGGAAAGCGGGAATAAAAATGATGAAAAGCTCGCTTATACAATACAGCACTAAAGTATACATAAAATTTCTATATGTAAGAAGAAAACTATTACATGGTCGAATACTACTAGATGGCGGTAGCAGCGTGTTCTAAAAGGCTACCATTGTTACAATCAGTTAATATAACTGTCTTATAGCAACATTGTTAATCATTTAAACATTGGTTGAAAAGGTATCGTTAGCATTATCTCATTGTTCCTCTCACACATACCCACTGATATCAAAGCACTTAATCCCCTATTAATTCCCTTCAAATATGGACAATCGTTGTCAAACTGACGCAGTGTATACTGACTTCCAAAAGGCATTCGATAAGGTGGACCATGAGTTGTTTTTAAACAAAATTAATGGCATTCGTGGAAATCTCTTAAGATGGTTTATTTCCTATATAACCAACCGAACCCAAAAAGTAGTTATTTCAATTCATTTTTAATTCATTTCAATTAAATTCATTTTCATTCAGTTAATTCATTTCAATCAGATCCAATTTTCGTAACATCTGGAGTTCCTCAGGGCTCTATTTTGGGTCCTTTATTATTTGTTCTATTTATTAACGATATTGACACTTGTTTCTTACATTCTAAATTTTTGTTATACGCAGATGACCTTAAAGTAATATATTTATAGAAATCACAACATTTTATGCCTTCTTTACATTTCTAAAGTATAGTCCCACCATTTTACGTGCACAGGCAAGGCGTTACAATGTTAGCGTGGGCGCAAAGGGATATAACTCAAATTCAAATCCAACAAAGCAATTTATTATTTATTTAACAATTTATAATTTAACTCAAATATTCTTTAAAATGCGTTAAATATACATTAGTTAGTACACTTTTTGAGCACCGATCATATAATAATATTATTTTCGGACATCTAACACATAACGCCATCTAGTTTCAAACTAGACAGTGTATGACAGGTAGATTGACTGATGGAATACTTTTATACTTTTTTAAATACGTACATATTATACATAGAAAACACTCAAACTACGAAACAAATTTTTGAAGATCATACAAACATTCGGTCCGACTCGGGAATCGAACCCGAGACCGCAGCATAGCAGTCGCATACGCTACCGATGCACCACTGCGGCAGATACTATTATATATTATATTTAATTATGATCGATGGAGATAGGTGTGTATTAAATCCTAGACAAGTACACGTAATAATGTTCTTTTATAGATTTTGTCTAATATAGTTATACAAAATTAATCATGTATTAAAAGTTTCCTATTGATTAAATATAACTTACTAGTCTTAACTCAATATAAAAAGGTCACTGCACATACATGTAAAAGATACATTTCTGTTTTAATACTATTTCACACAACTATCTCCCAAATATCATACATATATGTGAGCTATTATCTGCTTAATATAGGTAGGTACATATGCGTATCTATGTGTACAAACATTTGGACAATTTGGGCTTATTTTCACTGATCCACTTCACTAAAGTATTACAATCTGTGGAGAGAGAATGTCAAGATAGTCTGTGTGTGTGTAAATATATACCGTGTTTACAACTGGAAGTGTTACTTTGTTCTGAATCTCAATCTTCAAATATTAAAACAACATTCTAATCTAATTCAGATGTGGTTTAATTGTGATGTGAAGTGTATGTTCTGCCAGCAAGAGCCGATATACTGTTGGTGTTATACCATTTAAACAATCATCAAACAACATAAAAAGAATGCCCCATGAAATATGGAACTTATACAACATAAGGACCATCATAAACTCAATACAGTATTATGTGTAGCAAGCGTTGTCTATTGTCTAAACTGATCAAAGCGAACAAAATTAGTAGTGACAGGTGTTTCCCGCCAAGACGCCATCTTGTATTGTTCATGCCTTCTGAAACTGCCACAGATAACGATGTACAACGAGGCGTTCGAATACGACCGTAAGTTGACATTTTGTGATAGAACATGTCACGAATAAGACGTAAATGGGAGGTACGCAATTTATGCGGTTGCTTCAGAATTATACATTATATATAAAATGGTTACTGTTGAATTATGTTTATAATAGTATTATAGAATACTAAGAATGCAAACCATAAGTGTGCATTATCAATGAAACTAAGCCTAGTTTAGCTCAAGATGGTGCTATGTCACTTAAGTTTCAACAATAAAATAAAGAATCCTAAAACAATAACCTAATCAAAATCAAATTACAAACATTCCTTGTCCGTACTATAATAATTTGTAGGTATTTTTAGAGCCTGTTCAACACTGTCTAGGAGGCAAAATGTATCTGTACGAGGACACCGTACACTATTGCCGATCAAGCGCTTTTTTCCATATAATAATGCATTACTTATTATAAACATTGAGTGCACGATCAACGGCCATCGCGTGTGCTCCCTCGCTCCTTTGTACATCATAGTTCCTTGATTCCTTTAATAAATTACTCTTGTTAATATCTATCAGCCGTATCCTTTTACCGACTTCCTAACTTCTACATGGTCCTTCGAGCCGGATCGATCGCATCTTTTTGATCTTGCCTCGCCGTGCGTCCGCCACGTTCCATTTTGTGTCGTTTTTTAACCGGAGTCCAGAGATATTAGGCGTGAGGTAACCCAATGTGATGAATAAATGAATTTATGAGAGTGGGCTGGGTTGCCCTCTAGCAACTTCCGTTGGCAACGAGTTCATACCTACATGAAAGCGAATTCCATGTTCCTAAGCACCTAACACATGTACAATAAGTATGGTTTGAAAGGTCATCTAGTGTATGAAATTTAAATATTTGACGTACTCGTTCAGTATCTAGTTATGAACATACCTTGTGTCTATAAGCACAGATTGTTGTTAAACACCAACTTTTACATACTGAATTTACTAAGAGTCTGAGTATTTTTAATTTTGTTTTAAAAGTAAATTTGATAATTGTTCTATAGCTTTACTAAAAGTTCCTGACAGTACCGTCCGATATCCGTGTTTATGGTGACACCTTCTCTCCTAAGGGTTGTAGCAATAACCTACAATCTTCTTATGATTTGGGCAATGAAATGCAGAAATTATATTAGACTTCCAAGATATTTCTAAACCTCTCTTTTCACGGTTTTCTGATGCAGATCTTCAGTAGCGTATGCATAGGTTGTTCCTCACAATAATCATTTCACAGTAATAAATAAATAATAAAGCTTTGTCGTTCAGCAGCGGACGATGACACGTCCACGTACGACGAGGAGGCGGCAGTGGAAGCGGCGGCGGCGTTCGCCCGCGCCTGCGCACCCGACACACAGCGCCTTCTCGCCTCGCCCGCTGCCGCCAGGCACGAGCGGCGCGTGCTCCTCACCGACAACCGTGACCAGTGAGTACCCTTTTTTCTTTTGACACTTTTTAGTTTCTGAATATTGTCTTCGTCTTCAGAAATTGTCCTTACAGGAAATTATTACGGTGTTGTAACTTTTCTAAGAATTACGATTATGACGAGTCAAATACAAATAGTACTTGTGTAGGTACATCTACAACATACAACTTGCGGTAAACGAAATTTGATTGAAATCGTTTTAGCTTAAATAATACATGCATTACATTATTGACTTACATTCCTTGAAGAGTAAAATAATCTTAAACTGTATCTGCCACTGCCACTTACTTTCTAGGTACATTAGTAATACATACAAAGTTGTATTAATCGATTTCATATCCGTGATGATCCTGAAACAATAGCTTCGATAATTATAAACATTTATATAATAATAATAATAATATTATTCTAACACATACACACAACGCCATCTAGTCCCAAACTAAGCAGAGCTTGTACTAAGGGTACTAGACAACTGATATAAATACATATACACTTTTTTTTGTAAATACATACATATTATACATATGTCCCGTCCAATGATATTATATACAAACTAGCACAATGACGTATTTAGGTACTATACGGGAAATTGATAAGTGCTGATTTGTTTCTCTTATGACTCATTACTGACCATATTAAATTATTAACAGTTAGTTATTATTTTGATAAAAATTTATGTTTATTACCTTAAACAAAACTATGTTTCAAATCGGACAGAGTCTCGCTAACAAAAAACTGTTTCACTCATAGTCGGCCAGCTCGCTATACGTACAGGCCGGTACGCACACTTACACACATTAGTCGGCTATTACGCTTGCAAACATCAAGACAGCGAGACGCATTACGTGGCACAAATGTGTCGTGTTTTGCGTAGTAAAATGCTGTCAAACCGTACTGACCGAAAGAAATATAATCCAGGAATCACGTGCACTTATTTCCAGATTTTACACATTAAAATTAATCACAGTATTCACTAGAAGAAAAGAATTCATTATAATCCCCGTGTTACCAATTTCCACGTGTGCAAATTACCCGAAACAAAGGAAATTATTGGTTTGTTATTGAAATCAATTTATTCAAGTTATTTATGTAATAGTTACAGCTAGGTATACTAATTCATATTCTTTTACTAAGTTTTCTAAGGAAAATGGAGTATGGAGAAATTATTGGATTCAAATAATTAGAAATTGTAATGGTGAAAATAAAGACAACACAAATATATTCTAACAAAAATTCTTAAAAAGTTTGTTGGCAATGAAAGCATTTTTTAAACTTCGAATCTGAACATACTTTCATCGGAATAAAACACAAAATAAGTCTTATCAAATATGTAGCGGAAAAATATTTAACGATTCGGTTTCACCACATCTCGAAATTAGAGAAAATTTCAAGAACCTCTCAACGTAAACGACATTATTATAAAAAAAAATACTCAGCATTTGGGACATAAAACAGTAAAATTTTGAACAATTTTTTTATTTATTTATTGACTTTGTTTTAGGGCATAAATTTCATTCACACACAAAGAGCTGCCGCCATTACGGTACCTCAGTTTTATCTATGTCTAATCTATGCTTGTTTTTGTATCTGGTCATAAGATAACCTAAGTACTCGTACTTACTATTAGTTAGTAACTGAGTGGCTAATGAACAAATCTTACGATGATACAGAGAACCTACTCCGATTTTCAACGCTACAAAACCATACACCCATACAGACTCAATTCAAGACACTCACATACACACACACATACACGCACACACACACACACACACACACCCACACACACACACACACACACACACACACATACACACTCACGCGCCATCCCAACCTTTTTTGTGATTGTGAAATATTTTATTTAAAATGCACTAAAATTGTAACAACAAGTCGCTAAGATAGTTTTTTTGCTGGTTTTGTATATGTTTTTGCGAGAGCCCTGGGTACCCATTGGGTGCCATATTCAAAATGAAGTTTGGAGGTCAGCAGACGGTACACCTCTCGATCATGAGCGGCCTCCTTTAGTTGGCGATATCGCAGTCTTATGGTTACTATGGTTACAAATACCACAAGTTTAATCTTACCTTCGGTACCAAAGTTAAATGAAATAATGGTTATGATACCTAGAAACATGTTCACCTAGAATCTAAAATCTAAAATGGCAAATAAATTATTTAAAAAAAAATGTTTGCTAATTTAGTAACAAAAAGTATAAATCCACGAAGTAAATGGCGTTGGTGGCATCCGATTCCGGTTAATTTCAAGTTAAACATCACAATAATTGCCATAAATAGATATGTATCGTTATAAAACCGTGCAGTAGAACAATAGAAGTAAGATTCAATTGTGTCAAGGTATTAAAATAATTATGCTAATAGACAAAGAGTGGAAATAAATACTTAATTATTCTCTGACACCTAATGAGTGCACTAAAATTTAATAAATACAGCAGCAGATGACTTGCTTTCCATGTAAATACAAATAATAATGATGTTTGTTTGTAATCACGTCGCTTGCCGGGACGAATAACATGAAAAGCTAGGCGACTGGCAGCAAGAAACAATGCAATAAATAATAAAAGTTTATTTCACTTCCACAAAGGTTCCTTAAAATTAAAACTTACTAGAGTACGTGGTTTTTAATTAATTTGTTCGAAACTAGTATCCAGTTATTATTAGTTCAGATTAATAGGCCCCACCCCCAGGATAAAATTTGTTTATATAGTAACAAGCTACTCTAGAATATTCTATATAGGAAGGAATAACAGATATTTATAGACTATTTTGTGTGTGTGTACGCAGAATGCGTACGTGTGTATGTTGATGCGTGTGATGCGTATGTGTTTGTGTATATGTGTGTGTTGTGTATGTTCAGGTGAATGCAAAGAAAAACAGAAATGTTTGTGGCAATTTAAAGTACATTTGCTACACAATTTGTACGTTACGATACGTTCTGATTACTGAATTTAGAACAAGAACTATGACCACCTGGACACAGCGTCAGTCAAAAACTAACATCTCAACGCCAAAATCAAATTAGGACATACCTTGAAACTTAAAAATATGGGATAAGAGACATAAACTAAAGCACAACAGATTTTTGATGCAATTCAATCATCCCCGACCTACATGTATAGATCCAAAGTACTCCACACTGGATGCAATGGAGTCGGTGCAATACCCAAAGAAATACATTAACTTGCAACGGAACGTAACGTAAATATTATCTTTGTTCTAATTACTGTCATTGAAATTAATCTTTATGTACCTATATGTCGATTTGGGTAACAATATAAAAGATTTGCATGTAAAAGCTTTTCTGATGACAGAACCAAGTACAAAAAAAACATACTAAAACAACATACTAACAGTTGTGACGATCTCACGACAGGCACAAAGAAAGTAAAAGTAAATATCGACGACTGAATGGTGTAGTAGTTTGTGTAACGGTCTGCTATTCCAAAGGTCGCGGGTTCGATTCCCGCTCAGGTCAAACATTTGTGTGCATGAACATTTGATGTTTGATTTGGTCTGGGTGTTTTTATGTATAATATGTATGTATATACAAAAAAAAAAAGTATATATGTATTTATATCAGTTGTTTAGTACCCATATTACAAGCTCTGCTTAGTTTGGGACTAGATGGCGTTGTGTGTATGTGGTAGAATATATATTATATATATACAAAAAAAAAAGTTGTACAATGCGCGGCCTTATCGCGATTTGTGAACTCTTCCAGACAACCGCTGGATGGAGAAGGAGATTAAGGATGAGATAGGGAGGGATTGCAATTTGCAGTATGATATAATTAAGAGTAATTGTTAAATATCAACTCATACAAATAAGCACAATTAATACGTACATGTTTAATTACACATATATACACTGCGCATTTAAAATGGCTTAGCACATTTTATTTGCGTTATTACTTAATTAGAATTCCCTTTACATTACAACATTTGAAGCTAAAATCAATAGAGTACAAATATTAATTCCAGAACGACCTTATTTTGTTTTTCACTTCGTACTTTTTTCTCGTACAAATCTTATGCATCACGTGCATTGAATGTAAATTTTGACCTTCATAAATGAGACATTGTAGCCTACACGTTCAAATGATTTGAATCACAGCGAGAAAATAACGCCTTATAAAACAGCGTGTTGTGCTTGATATATCAGATATTGTCAGTGCAAAAAAAACACGCCTGTGAACTTGTAAGTGTCAGGTTTTATGAGCACTTCTGTTGTTGCAATACGCAGTCAGGCTCTTGTCTACGGACTCCCATCGACTCAATGATAAACCGATCTAGTCTGCTCGTATAAGACTGCACGGATGGCGTAGTGGTTTAAGCGGTCGCCACGCCGCTTCCTACTGCGCCGAGGGTTGTGGGTTCAAACCCCACATGGGACGACACTTTGTGTGATCCACAAATTGTTGTTCTGAGTGTGGGTGTTCTTTGTGTCCGTTTCATGTATATTTGTAAAGTCCCCCGCGACACAGGATTTATTCCTAATGCGGGCGTTGTCTTTAAAAAAAAAAAAAAAAAAAAAAAAAGTTACATAATTCTTATCTTCATACATATCTACAAAGTTAGGTATTGCGTCGTAATTATTTCACTTCACCAAGGTGGAAGTGAAAACGAGGATTTCGGCAAATAAAACCAACTTCTATTTCATATAAAGATAATATACTTAGTATAAATTAGTTAATGATACGTTTCTTTATACAGAAAATATTAGGTTTATTACGATCTGATGACTGGCATCTGTTAATTTTCACCACCCACTTGAAAAACCAGCTTCTAGAATCTAAGGCGTGGGTATTTCCTGAAATGAAAACTAGTATTTATTTCATTCTATTCTTTTTAATTTGTTTACATTACCGAATAAGTGTATGAAGGTAAAAATAATATATTGATGAATCCTACTCATTAAAAAAATATATATGTATTATACTTTCACGTCTAGGTAACCGATTATCTTAAGATTTTTTTTAGACAGA